AATCTTAGGTCCCTGTAACATCAAGTCCAACCTGTAAACATCCACACTGAAAAGCATTCCCTTCCTGGCCCCCTCAAGGCGCTGTGCAAACATCTAAGTAAGAAAAAAATATTGTCATGGTCCAGGGATGTTGCTGCTTAATGACTTCTGTATAGAGACTAACTTTCCTCCATTTCAGCTCTAGGTGAGTTGTTCCATCCTTCCTCCAATTACCCCAAAACAGTAAAGTGGATTTCAAATTTTACTTCTCCTTCTCCATCAGCCTTCTTTCCCCACATGCAATCAATTATTAATCCCATCAATGTGAGTTCTTTAGTTTCCCATATCTTCATGTCTTTTTAAAAAATTTTTATTGAATTATAGTTGATTTACAATGTTGTGTTAGTTTCAGATGTACAGCAAAGTGAATCAGTTATACATATACATATATCTACTCTTTTCAGATTGTTTTCCCATATAGACCATTACAGAGTATTGAGTAGAGTTCCCTGTGCTATACAGTAGGTTCCTATTAGTTATCTATTTTATATATAGTAGTGTGTATATGTCAATCCCAGTCTCCCAATTTATCCCTCCCTGCTTATCCCCTGGTAACCATAAGTTTGTTTTCTACATCTGTGACTCTACTTCCGTTTTGTAAACAAGTTCATTTGTACCCTTTTTATGCTTGCTGCCACGCTAGTTCAGACCATCAATGTTTTCCTCCTGTTTTATGGGGAAAGCTGCCTAGTTGATCTCCCTATAATTCATTTTACCCTTTCTAATCATTCCCCACATTAGCCAGAATGATTGCTCGTTCTAAAACACACATATGTGTTTTCTTACAGTGAACCACCCTTGTCTATGGTATAAGATCTATATTTTACATGAACACAAGCCCTCGATGATCCAGCCCTTATATTCTCCTCCCTATGTTGGAAACTTTTTCCGATATGTCCAAAGTGATAAACATACAGCACTCTCATACCTAGATCTCTGCCTATATCATGTCCTGTGCATGCAATACTCTCTGCTTTTTCTTCCCCCTTCACTTGTTCTTCAAGCCTAGTTTAGATATTTCTTCTGGGTAACCTTCACTGATTATACACGACTAAGTGAGCTGGCCACTCAGAGTTACCTGTAATCTTAGCACTGGTCATATCATACTATCAGTTTACCTGTCTGTCTCTGCCAATATGCTGGGAGAAACCTAAGGAAGATCCAAGTTTCATCCTCCTTCATAACCTGTACCCACCACAGTACCAAGTAGACAGTAGGTATCAAAGAGCATTTGTGGAATGAAAGATTATAGAAAGAAAAGAAAAAAAAGGGGAGCACAAAAGAGAGATAAAGAGATGAAGGAGAAGGGTGGGAGTAGAAAAAGAAGAATAAAAGAGAAGTAGGGCATGAAAGGTTTTTTAAAAGGGAGGAAAAGGGAGTGGGGGGGAGAAGGAAGGGAGAAGAGGAAGAAGAAGAAAGAGGAAGGAGGCAGGGAGGAAGGGAGAAAAAAAGTAAGGAGAGAAGTAGAGTGGGAAATAGGAAGAAAGAGCATATAAAGTTAACAGAAAAATGAAGACTATTCACAGTAGATTTCCTAGTGGAAATTTCTAGGGAGGTTCTAGATGCCATCAGTCCTCCAGCGGCTGGCCATCTCTCTGGAAGACATAGTCAAGTCTCTAGACATAGTCATAGTCAAGGAGTTCTGAAAGTCATAGTCACGGAGTTCATAAAGAATGTAGGACTAAAAAGGGCCTTAAAACAACTGAGTTCAACTTCATTTTATAATTGAGGAAACTGAGCTGAAGACACGAGCTGTGACTGCTCCACAGAAGACAGTTAAGAGGCGAACACAGGCTGGAATAATTTCAAAACCCAGGTTCTCTTCACACACCAGTCTTCCCCAAGACACACATGAATCAATAATGACAGGAGAAGCATGGTAGCTCAGGACCCCTGGTCCCTGACTTGGGGCTGTGCACAATTCTGTGTGCTATTTCTTTTTCCTAATGTTTTTACTTTACTTAACCTCTTCAGGACAGGTATAAATGAGGCCCCATACTATTTTGTAGTATTTTGAGTATTCTCTAGTAAGTCAAAAGGATACCTGAGCTCTGCTTCTTGCTCCCTGTTACTCACCTTTAGCCTGTAGTTTTGCTATTTGTCCTCTCTCTTGGAAGACCTCTGCTGCCATTTCTAACTTTTGAAATCCTTGGCATCTTTTTTGACGCTTTGTTCAAATGTCTTTTCCTCCCTGAGGCCTGTCTCGATGCTCCTGACAGGAAATAATCATTCTCTCTTCTTTGCTTTGTTCATTTCTTTCTCAAATATGAATTGGCCTACACCCTTTATTAGAGTTTCATGTGCATCTTTGTTCCTCCCTAAACGTGCGCTCATGAAAGGCAGGAATGGTTCTTGCTTTAGCTTTGACTCCCCTTGGAGGATTTGCACGGCACCTTTGAAATGACATACATTTCATGTTTGTTATGTTGAACTGAACTACAGAATCCATTTTCCAACACTGATGCCTACATCACTGTCAAAGATTAACAAAGCAAAAAATTCATTATATTCCTTTTTGTTTAAATTTTCTATGGGTATGCTTTTTTTTTTAAAGCCCTTTTATTGTGTCAATTTTTGTCCAGTAGTTGTTTAAAGTGAGTTGTTAATATGGACCAACAACGATATATGAACAAGGAAGGAAGCAAAGAGACAAAACAGTAAAATTGAGTCAGTTAGTATCAGAACCTTGACATTTATGGATTATATTATGACTTTATATGCTAGCCAACTGAAGGAGTAATTGTTATGCGAGTTCCATGTCCCTTTAAAAATACTGACAAATAAAGAGACTGTTGGAGAGAAGGGGACCTCATTTGTTAAAGGGTTTTTTTTTTAATTTTAGAATATTATTTATTTTTTTATACAGCAGGTTCTTATTAGTTATCCATTTTATACATATTAGTGTATACATGTCAATGCCAATCTCCCAATTCATCCCACCCCCACTCCCCGCCGCTTTCCCCCCTTGGTGTCCATACATTTGTTCTCTACATCTGTGTCTCTATTTCTGCCCTGCAAACCGGTTCATCTGCACCATTTTTCTAGGTTCCACATATATGCATTAATATACAATATTTGTTTTTCTCTTTCTGACTAACTTCACTCTGTATGACAGTCTCTAGATCCATCCGTGTCTCTACAAATGACTAAAGGGTTCTTCTTTTAATGGGGAGGATTATTGGGGAAGATTTATTGCAATACATCTCAAGTATGGGAAATATGAAAGAAGCTAAGAACTACTAAACTATAGTCTGAGGTTAGCAAGGATTTACTCAAGGTGAATAAACTAGACTACTCATTCCTCTCATTTTACCTAGAAGTGTTCTTGCACAGAACAGAGGGAAGATTGGTTGAATGTACTGAGATGAAAGCAAGAAGGCACTTTAAATGCCAGAACTCCCAATCCGTCTCAGCAAGGTCTGACCCTTTCTAAACTTTCATTTCTTATCAAGTGAAGTTAGCAGTTCCATCAGCTTAAGGACAAAGATTTTCAAATTGTTTTGGAAAATATTTTAAGAATGCTTTTAGATGAGATTTTGCATGTTTTTAAAAACATAATTTTAAGTGAGCTCAAGTCCAACATATTTCTGTATTCATCACCTACTACTGGCAGCCCATACTCTAGCAAGCTAATGGTAGAAGAACATTTCTATCTGCACTTTTCTGAGTACTGTTCAAAGGACAGTTTTGGTTTGTTTTTTTCATTCACCACTTATGTGCATGGCCAGATAATGCACCACTGGATTAACATATAGCAGACATCCTTTATAGTATTTCAGTTCTATCACAATTTTCAGAAAAATAATTTTCTAGTGCTAAAGAAGCACTTAAAACTCTCTTGGTTTTGAAATACCATGTAAGAGTCAGAGGAAATTTAAAAGCAAGAAAAAAATAAAACGCAAAAATAATACACAGAAAAACAAAAGATTATTACTTTCCATTCGAAACTCCAACTAGGAAGTTTAATAAATAAAATTAGAAGAAAAAATATAAAAACTTGCCCTCAGGTATCTTTCTTAAACTTCATAAACGTATAGCATTTGCTAGAGTAAATTGTTCCATTCAGGATGTACATAGGAGAACATAGTGAGTTGCTGTATATTCTCAGTGAGTCCCTGATATATTGTTTCTTTTTCTCACCTACGCTTTTTGAAACCTTACAAATGAATAGTTGCTGAGTCTGAAGAATTGATTTTTACTTAGTTTGACCTCTCTCAGATTCCTATAGCCACAGAAAATAATTCTAAGTTTGAAAACTACTTCTTTCAGAGCTTCTCCAGTGAGAAAAATAAAATTTTCAAATATGAACCACTCACTCATCTTGTACATGAAGAGTAGGTTCCCAAGAGCAACTCATTTTTAAAAGAGCGTTTCTTAAACCCATATCTGTCTCCTGTACTTTGGGACACACTAGAAAAACTTGGTTTCCCAGAGAATGTTTTCTCCTACTAGGAAACTCCTTACAATGACATTTTTTCCATTGCACAGTAATTGGGTAGGTTTTATATGACTTGAGTTTGATCACTTGATCAACATTTAGATGATCACTCCTTAAGAAAGTCTATCATACTACTTTTAATGCTGTCTTCAAGATTAACAAATTTCTGCTTGTGAGAAAGGATGTTAATGGAATGTTATTCAATTTGGTATATGCAGCAATGGAAGAGGTGAATTTCTAGAAAGCTTATATAATTACACTTGTGTAAATTTACCTTTATGAAAAAGGGCTTATTCAGTTACCTCATCTGTAAAATGGGATAACAACAATACCTACCTCATAGATGAGCTGTGAGAATTAAATAAGCTAATAATGTAAAGACTCAGTAAGTAGTAAGTAAGAAGCAAGTCCAACCGTGTTGGCTATTATTACTATCTTAGTCTTAGTGAATGTAATGGGCCAGTGGGGCTTAGAGAAAAGTTGGACAGGCTTGGGTCAGTAAAAGAAGCTGCTGACTTCTTACCTCCAGGGAGTCATCTGCATTCACCATCCAACAGTCTGTCCAGGTGGCCACAACCAAGAACCCAGTAGAGAAAAATGCAAAGAAGCAGGCGACATACTGAAAAAGATCCCTCATCTTAACGAACAGCCTGTCTGCAAGGGACACATGGGCAGCTGCCAGCCCTGGACCCATGCAGGTAGCTGGAATGCTGTCAGTCTTCTGTGCTTCTGGTACCTGGGGATGTTGAAAATGCTGGTCTTTTCCTTTTCCTTACTCCCCACTGCAGGCGTCTTAAGCTGCGGTAAGAGTAATACAAACAGGCTGTAACCCACAGAGGGGTCCTGGAGGTCATTATCTGAAGCAACGAGCCTCCAATCAGAAGCCAGGTCAGTGAAAGGACTGAGAATGTTTTGGGTGGGGGAGAAAAGGAGCCCCGGTAATGTTTTCTGCCCAGACCGTGGGCTAATGTGAGATGATGGTCACCAGAGGCACGTGTCAGCGCCAAGATGGAGAGAAGGAAGAAGGGTCACACCCCATGCTGACGCCTGTAAACTGATCCTTCTCAGGCCCTCCAGAGAAAGTGAGCTATTCTCCTCCTCCCCTCAGTAAGGGGGCTATATGGTTGACTGAGTGCTTTTATTATTAGGACTATTTTAATATTCGCTGACTACCTTAGACAGACAGGCCACTGGTGAAACTATGCTAACAAGGGCTTGCTCAAGGGAGTTTGCATTCCAAAGTGCTGGACAGAACAGCCCATAAAGGGTTTCCAAGCACCTGGGCCCCAGGTAGAGCCATGGCTCCTAACCTTTCGACATCATTCAGTGGGAAAGAGTTGCGCATTTTAACCCAAAGAGCTCTGGGTATAAATCCTTGCTCTGAAGCTTACAGGCTGAAGGCACTTGGGCTGTGGTTTCTGTAAAATGGGGATATTAATACAAACAGACATCATGAAATGTTTGGGAAAATTAAACGATACTGTGTCTGTAAATCACTTAGACAGTGTCTGACAAAAGTAGCTAAATAGTAAATATTAACATGACCAAGAATTCCCTATATGATTACTTTTCCCCCATGAACCAATGTTTGAAAATATGCTTGAAAAAGAAGCTGTTTATTCTAGAATAAAAGGATTTTTTTAAGTCTGTGATATAGCAGGGGCAACTAGAGTTTTACCTGCACCCGAATGGGTAGACTTATTGAGTATAAATATTCCATAACCAGTAGAATTTTTAAAAAATACTTAAAAGAGCATACATCCCCTCATTTAATATTATCAGATAGACCTCTCTACACTAAAATACAGATTTTTAAGTGATAATAAAAAATATTTTACATGGTTCTTAATGCAAGAGAGGGAATGAGAAAGGTGGGGGAGAGAGAGAGATTGAGAGAGAAAGAGACAGAGGAACAAGGGAAAAGGATTAGAAATAGGTCATTACTCTGGGAAGAATCATCTCCTAAGAAAGTTATTTTAGTGACAGCTCAGGAAGGGTTTACTTTTTTCCACTTAATAATGATTCAGTCATAATATTTAGGGTAAAAGACTAAAATCAGTACTGATAAAACATCCTTCAAGTCTATATTAAAATAATAAACTTTTGTGACTAAAATTTGCTATTTTCTAATTGATTTGTGTTCAAAAGTATAAACTGTAAATATAAATGTAAAATCACTTGTAAAACCATATGTGGAATATGTCTATTTACTGCCATCAGTAAAGTATATATGTTATCAGTAGTTATCATTAGTTTGTGAGCGGCATTACAATTGCTTTTAGTTTTATTTATTTATTTTTTGACTTATTTCACCTAACAATTGGGGAAAAGAACACTTAGTTTTTAAAGTACCCATTCAAAGAATGGAATTACCTATGGTGTAAGGCAGCTACAACGCACACAGGCTGCTTCGATGAGTCACAAGTGAATCTGTCCCTGTGCCCTAAAATCTAAAATGCTCATGCTCTGTTGATCTGGGAGGGAAACCAATTCCAAAAGCACATGCCCATTACAGGAAAAGTCCTGGACTTGGCTGCTGGCTTGCCACCCAGGGACCTTCCACAATGTACTTTTCCTGCTAACAGTGCACCCCAGGGCAATGGTTCTTAAACTTGAGTGCACAATGGAATCTCCAAAGCCACTTGTTATAAATGCAGACTTGGGAGCTCCACCCTCAGAGATCTGGATTCGGGAAATTGGGAACGGAAGTCAAGAGTTCACATTTTGTAAATGTCTTGTATAAAATTCTGATTCTGAACCAGATGACCATGCTTTGAGAGACTAAGAAGAAGAGAAGAAAAATCAGCATTAAAATCAGCATATTACTTTACAGACTCATACACTATGGCTCATAGACAAAGCTGTGGGAGGGGGACACCAGAATTACATCTTTGGTACCAAAGTCTTCCCTAATTAGTACCATAACAGGTCCCAAATCCAAATATCAGGACTTAATGAAGAAGGTGAAGTAAAGGAAAAAAACACTGGGCTCCATGCATGCACTATGCATGCGAACACACACCAGTACACATATATCTCTGGAAATCAGAGATTCCTTCACAGGAAATATATAGGCTGTACCTTAATTTATTTCATTCCCCAAATTGTACTGGACGTCTTATGTGGTTAAGGATTGGGAGACCATTAATGTGACTATAGAGTTGTTCCTGAATCAAAGTATAGTACTTTTAGAGAATCACGTAAGACAAGCATGCTTAAGGGTCAATTTCTGTGGGTGAGGCCATAATATGATAGGAGATCCAAGAAAGGAGAGACATGCAGACTAACTGATGAGTAAGAAGGACTCCATGGGTGGAGTGTGAATGCACTTCAAAGGAGGAGACAAACGTGTTGGGAGCTGTGAGCACGGAGGTGCACATGCAGAGTAAACCATTCACGAGTCTAGGAAACAAACTTATGGTTACCAAAGGGGAGAGTGGGATGGGGGACGGGTCAAATAGGCATTTGGGATTAAAAAATACACACTATTATATATAAAATAGGTAAACAACAAGGACCAACTATATAGCACAGGGAACTATACTCAGTATCTTATAATAACTATGATGGAAAAGAATCTGAAAAAAGAAATTATATATATGCATATATATGTGTGTATATATATATATATAACTGAATCACTTTGCTGTACACTTGAAACTAAACATTGTAAATTAACTATACTTCAATAAAACAAAAGCAAAAAAAATTCATGAGCCTATGTAATTAAATCAATTCTTCTTTCTGCCCATGCTCTAGATTCCAATACTTAGCGTTATCTACTCAATCCTAGTTTAGTTCCATTCCACTCAGTACACATATACATATAGCCTACTCTGACCGGCACTATGCTAGGTCCTGGAGACACAGAGAAAATAGAATATGGAGGACCTGGTCCCTGTCCTTGAGAAGCTACAGTGAGTGGACCAGAGCCCGGCACATGAAAGGAAGTGAGAGTTCCGTTCAGGCAACACTGAGTACAGTCTTAAGTGATAGTACGACTTCCAATAGTAGTACACGGGCACATTGGCTAAAAACATGCAGGGATTCCCATTATAGTATAAACACAAAGGACAATCATCCCTCTGCGTGTGACCCAGTAGTGTTTATAAAATATTTTCACATACATTATCTCATCTAAGCTCCACGAAGACAGACAGCTTTATTTTATTCATCAATGCACCCCAAATGCTTAAAATTCTGCCTGGCCTATAGTAGGCTCTCAACAACTAGGTGATGAATTTCATTTAATCCTCAAAGCCCCCATGTTCGACAGAAGAGATAGTAAAGGTGAGCTTGCTCTTTCTGAATCATCCAGGGTCCCCCAGGATAAATACTGTGCTGGCAGAAGTGGCTCAATCATCTTTGCAGCTCCAGAGCTTTTCGTTCTGCAGGATCCCTAAGACATCGTGGTCGATTCATTAGCACTGTGTTCCCACTCACCCAGTATGTGCATTACTCCTGGTTGAAGATTTAGAGCCACCTGGTGATGAAGTGAGTGGTGCCCTTGGTCCAGCACCCTAAGCGTCAGTCTCTGCTCAGCTGGAAATACTGCAGTTGTCCCTTTGGCCTGCAGGTGGAAGTAGCTCTGCATTTTCAGTTGAGAAAAACAGCAAGTTGTTTTTGTGCTAACTGTTGTTTCTGTTAGGGTCACACACTGTTCCTTCTATGTCCATTATACGTCCTTAGGAGGAATAAGCTGATTTATACCACATCTTACGAATAATCTTCTCACTCCTTTTTAATTGCCCAGTGCTCACTGGAAAAAAGTACATAATAAAATCATTTGTTGTTGTCAAAGGCCATACTGCCTATAACTAAGGGCAAAATAAACCAGTGGTTAAAATGTTTGGACCTCAGAGTCAGGCAGACCCAAGTTCAGACTAAGCCACTTAACATACGTGAGCTCTTGGGAACACTACTTGCTACTTAACTAATAGCTGGCTCAATACAATGAAAATGACAAATTCTGTCTAAGAGGGCTGTGAAAAACAAATAACATTTGTAGAGGTCTTAATACAGTGCCTGGAACATAATAAACAATCAATAAATTATAGCTATTATTATTTTTATGTTACAATCTTGCTCTTCTACGTATGTGCCATATATATATATATCAATATATATATACACGTGTGTACAGGTATGTATACGTGGTGTATGCATATATGTACGTACACATAGACGTCATAGATACTTAGTAAAACAACTTAATTGAACACAGAGGAAACAAAAGGTGTAACCGTGAAGAAATTTCATTTTTCTCTCCCATGATCCTTTCAATGCATTCGTTTTGGGCCACTTCTTCCCCTGCCTCTAGGATGAAACCTAGGGTAGGTCCCATGGCATTTCTGTCATTCTTAGGTAATATAAATTCTTTTGGTCATTTCAAGGCACAAAGACACAGCCTCATTCCAGTTATGTAAACATGTGTACTCCAGTACAGAGGCGAAGCCCTTTGCAGCCAATCCTCCTTCGTGCAGGCCTCCCTCATAGCAACGTGCCTGCCACGGTCTCTGCCCTTTAGATTTCTTGGGCCCGAGACAGACAGCAGTCCATTATGTCTCTCCAGGTCCAGGGAACAAATACCAGGCTTTCAGTGTAGACGAGTTGGAACTCCTTTCTCTGGGCTTAAAGTAAGGTATTAGAACTATCATTCTCCTCTATGGTGCCAGGGAAGCGGGACTCAATACATGTCGGTCTCCAAAAAGCTCTCCTAATATTCATCTCTTTTCTTGGAGATAACTTTGTCTTTTTCTGTCAACGGATGGGGAAGAGTGGGCAGGGTGGAGATAGCTGGCCCACTAAGAGTTGCAAAACTGGTTCTAAGGCACCTCTTTTGCAACTCCAGCTTGGGATCCCTCATCTCATTTTGGAGTGTGGTATTTACTGTCTAGCGACTTCAGTCAAAACTGGGACTAAAAAAAAATAAAAATAAAAAAATAGGGCTTCCCTGGTGGCGCAGTGGTTGAGAGTCCACCTGCCGATGCAGGGGACACGGGTTCGTATCCCGGTCTGGGAAGATCCCACATGCCGCGGAGTGGCTGGGCCCATGAGCCATGGCCGCTGAGCCTGTGCGTCCGGAGCCTGTGCTCCGCAATGG